GCTTCCGGTGGCTAGTGAACATCCGCGTTGGGTATCTCGTCCTCCGGATGAAGAATCAATGCCACATAGAGCCTTATCTCCCTTGCCGCTTTGCTCATCAGTTCGGCTACGACCAACTGTATGTCGGGAATCCGAGCCGTAGCCTACAGGTTAAGGGAGGACTGATTGATGGCGTACGAGCGTGGTTGTGGACTATGGTGGGCTGCACTGGAGCCCATTTTGCTCTCCCTTCATATAGGCGTAAGCCGCTGACTACTTTTCTCAACTGCAAGTGGTTCCTTTCCGCCTATGAATCCATCAGTGTGAGGAGCCTCTCAGAGTTACAGTCCGAGTACTCAGTCCGGGCTGCTATGATGGCTGGTCGCAGGGCTGAGCTTGCTCAGAAGCGGAGAAAAGGGCATGCCAAATCTCTTCTCACAGATGATGAAGAGCTTCTCCCTACGGGTGACGAAGACGAGACTTCCGATGAAGAATATGTGGATGCGGATACCGAAGGAGGGGATTTTGATATCGGTTTGTCCTGCCTCTTTGATTCTCCTTCTCCATTAATAACAGCTCTTGTCCATTTAATGAAATGGCTATTGTTACTTTAGGTAGGACAGCCGACGATCATGAGCCGCCGGCTCCTACACACGTTGAAACGTGTGACAGGCCTGTGCATGACCGACCCTTTGGTCCTCGGAGGGTTGGTGCCCCGAAGAGGAAGAAGACCGCTCATAAGCCCCACGACGGTCAGCGCCCTTACGGAGCGGACTTAGGAAGCACCGCTGATGGAGGGGAAGGTAACATTTTATTGCCATTGCTTTAAAGCTGTTTACCTTTTGGGATTTGTAACCATGTTCCATGCTCCAGGTTTCTTCGAAGAGGGTGAACTCCCACCGGGTTCGGTATCTCCTGGTGCTGATAACATGGATTGCTTTATGCAATAGATGTGCGACGCCCTTCATGATGGGTCTTTGGGCATCGATCTAAACATCGATCTTGAGCAGATGAATAATGTTGAGCCCCCAGTCCCATATTCAGGTATATCTACATCCAATGTTACTTTCCTCAAGCATGGGGAAGGAAGATCTTCCGTTTTTGCTGAAAGTATTTTCTCGAGCTTTCCTCATCTTTTAATATTCAGGTTACCCTGCAGGTGTTGCGATGGACAGGCCAAGATTCTCGAAGCCCGATGCCGGCTTATTAGCTGACATGCTGGCTGAGCAGACTTCCAGAGGAACCGAGAGACCATTCTTTGGGAATGATTCATCCAACGGTATATGTCTGATTCCTTTCCTCTTGCCTGATCTTTTATCTGGCTAACGAATGATTAATTATTGCAGCGCCAACCATTGGGATTAGCCCGATATCGATCCCTGGCATATCCAGCTTGCCTCGGAGTGACGGGCTCGCATGTACGCATACGATTTGGGGATATCGTACTTCTCATATGACTCCTGGTATTCCTCAGATGCCTACGGATGATGGATCTACAGGTATGCAGATGACTTTATTATCCCAATCCTCCTTATTTGTCTAAATTTTCATTTTGACTAATAAGAGGGTGCCACCATAGGACCAGCCGCTTGGGCCGATACTCTTATGACTCTTGGCATTCCGACTGCATCTGAGGACGGGGGAATTGCAGGTATGCATGAGATCTTCTTGTTCCGGTTCTCCTTATTTGTCCAAATTTTCATTTGGCTAATATAGGAATGTAACTATAGGACCGGCCGTTGAGCCTGATACTACTACAGTTCCCGGGGCTGAAAGCCTGCATAGAAGTAGTGCCTCCCCGCCCTTACCGAGTGATATGAGCAATCCGCCTGCAGTGGTTGATATACCCTCTATGACTACTTCTGCCACTGTCTCAGAGCCTGTCGGACCTCAACCTGAGGGGACGTCCGTTGGCGTTGGTATGCTCGGAACTCGCCTTTTGAATTTCCTTATCGTATTCGATAATCCGCTGAGTTTCTATGTTGTTGCTTGTAGGATCTCGATCTTCCCTATACGAGCGTGTCCGCATCCTTTTGGTCGATACTGTTCCTGACAGGGAGGCTTTTCGTACGGACCTCAGCTTCTTCACCGCCTTTTATAACGGCCTGATCGAGAAGCTTCTTCACAGAGGAAGCGGCTTCGATCAGTTCCGGCGTTCCTTTTCTCGCCACATGATGATGATGAGGGAAGAAGGATACCCGGAGTTGGCCGATTCCTTCACTGCCGATTTCGCCGCCCTGGAGTCAGAGATACGAGAGTTAAAGGAGTTGGAGGTTACCGGGGCTTCTTCTTTCGTGTCCTCTCAGTTGGAGCTTAGGATGGCACAGTGGCGTGACCTGAAATCTTCTATCGGATGCGAGCTTCAGTCACATGAGAGATCCATTGCGCAGCTAATGGCTAATGTGGCGAGGAAAGATACGGAGAGAGCTGAGCTACTACGCTCTTTGGACTCGAACCGCGAGGAAGCGACTAGGTTGAGAGAGGCCTTGAAGCACGCCGAGGAATCTGCCACTCTTATTGCAGATGACCTGGCTGGACTAGAGCGTTCTCGTGAACAGGCACTCGAGGAGCTCGGATCCACCCAGGAGATACTGATGAAGCTGAAGAGTGAGGCCGCAGAGATTCTAAGCCATTCTGAAGAATCTGCTCGAGCTAATCTGCAGGCGGAACTCGAGCGGAGTTATGTAAATAGACTCTTTAGTTTAAAGTCTCATATCCTCGAACGCCAACTGCCTTCGGGCTAACGAGCTTTTCATTGTACGCTTTTGACTCGGTCTATTAATAGAAACTCCGCATTTGCTTCTTTTGTGATCTTTCTGTACTTATTCTGAATGACAGATTTATGGGATTTTTGGCAAACCCCCAGCCCTCAACGGGTTTGATATGTCTTTACCGATTACCGTTTGAAATCGGACTAGCATGTGAATTATTAAAGCCCGTCTCACATGTAACGTTGTGCTAAGAAAATCGCTTTTCTTAGACTTAGTGCTATGACTTTGAATACATAGGCTTCGTCTTTTTCACGGGAATAGACTACCCGGCAACGCGTGTTAGGCGTTGACTTATCCCTACTTAGGCTTCGGGATAAAATTCTCCGTGCATCGAGTGCCCGGATTGGAAGTTGAGAATCGTGTCTTTTCTAAAAGCAAAGACAGACTGAGAAACGGGAGAGGAAGAATTTTATATTCTATCTCCCGGTGCTGAAGAGGAAGAATTCTATATTCTATCTTCGGCCGGAAAGGGAAACGGGAGAGGAAGAATTTTATATTCTATCTCCCGGTGCTGAAGAGGAAGAATTTTATATTCTATCTACAGCTGGAAAGGAAACTCGAGGTGGGATCTCCACCCCCAGAATCCGGAAGGATGAAACTAAGAGTGGGATCTCCACTCCGAGAATCGGAAGGTCCGAGGAGAGGAAGAATTTTATATTCTATCTCCCGGTGCTGAAGAGGAAGAATTTTATAGAGAGGGGATTTTGGTTTTGGTCCTAACTGTAGGAAGGTTTGACCAAGCAAAGGTTTGGGATGACCCTAACTGTAGGAAAGTATGATCACTCGATTTGAAAGTGGACCTCTCGTTCATTGGAGGAATCGAGAGGGGAATTTGGCTTTGGCCCTAACTTTTATAGGTTTGACCAGAAAGCAAAGAAAGTGGAATACGGGTAGCAAAGAAAACGCCAACTCGTATTATCACTCAAAGGGAGACTTTAATGCTAGGTGATTCTGACCTAACACGTTGAGTCTGAGAAATGCCAACAATGGGCAAATGGAAACGTTGGTGGATCCACTGTCGTTTAATTTGATCAGCGGATGGTTTGGTGAGGAAAGATTAACCTATCAGAGGATTAGATCTCATCTCACAAAAATAACTCATGAGAGTTAGAGTATTTTGATGAAAATAAGAAGAGACATTCTGACCTTCAGAGTTCGAATGTAGATTTCTTATTCGTCAATTCCACAATGACCGGGTTATCCCTAAGAATACCCATGTGGTATTCTTCCGGGAACTTCCCGATGCATTGGTTGTCCTGAAGATACTAAGGATAGTATTTTTTCAGGAATTTGCCGTTTATCGGCATCATGAGCTGGTCACCGTCCTTGGTGACAAGGCGATAGGCGCCACTCGAGTAGACTGTCTCCACTACGAATGGTCCCTCCCATTTGGGTTCAAATTTACCCTTCTTCTTGGAATTGAGGATTATCGGTCGGCGAGCAGTGAGGACCAGATCTCCTTCCTTGAAGCTTCTTTGTCGAACCTTTTTGTCAAAGGCTCGAGAAATTCTAGCTTGGTAAATTGGTAAAATTCAATGTGTTGTTGAGCTTCCAGGCGCTCTTCATCAAGCCTCTCGAGTTCTTCGAGGCGTTTCTGATGTTGTTCTTCGGTCGACATCTGGGTTGAAAGAGCGATCCGAAGAGATGGTATCTGGATTTCTAATGGAAGAACAGCTTCACATCCGTATACCAGTGAATACGGGGTCGCTCCCGTTGGTGTGCGCACCGTGGTCCGATAGGCCCATAGAGCTGCGCCAAGCTTGTCATTCCAGTCTCGTTTGTTAGTTTTCACGATCTTTGACAAGAGTTTGATGATAGTCTTGTTGAAGGCTTCAGCTAATCCATTCGCTGTAGGATTATAAGCCGTCGACGAGATGTCCTGAATTTTAAACTTTTCGCAGAACCTTATGAAGGCGTTGCTGACAAACTGAGGACCGTGGTCATGTATGATTCGTCTTGGAACTCCATACCTATAGATGATGTGGTGCTTGATGAATCCAATGACGTTGCTCGTTTTAACTTCCCTGAGCGGAACCGCTTCAGCCCATTTGGAGAAGTAATCGGTAATTGCCAGGATGAACCGGTCGCCTTTGACTGATGGGGGATTTATAGAGCCAACAATGTCCATTCCCCAAGTCTCGAACGGCCATGATGTGACCGAAGGATGCAGATGCTCCGGAGGTTGGTGCACATAATTCCCGTGCATTTGACATGCATTACACCGGAGGTTGGTGCACATAATTCCCGTGCATTTGACATGCATTACACTTTCGGGCATATGCAATTGCATCATTCATCATGGAAGGCCAAAAATACCCCATTCTTCTGATGCGATCGTAAAGCTTGGGACCAGGTTGGTGTGCGCCACACTCTCCTTCGTGTGCCTCCCTAAGGACCTCTTCAGCTTCTGCCACACTCTCCTTCGTGCGCTTCCCTAAGGACCTCTTCAGCTTCTTTGGTTGATAGGCAGCGCAATAGCAACCCATCGTACCCCCTGCGGTATAGCGTCCGATTCTCCGTATTGTAGTAGAATCTTGGAGCTCTTCGCCGGATTGACTCTCTTTCCTTTATATCTTCTGGTAAGATTTCATGCAAGACGTAGTCGATGATGGGGAAACGCCAATCTCGTGGTTCGAACCCGATTTGAGTAGCGTGCGCCTCTTGAACCTCTTCTTCCTTGGCATCTTCATTGTTGAGCGGTATCAAAAGTTGGTGAGTTCTTACCGTAACAAATTGCTCTGTTTCGGGAGGCTGCGCCAGTGATACGGCCAATGCGGCCAACGCGTCTGCATAGGTATTCTGTAGTCGTGGAATATGTTCGATAAAGAATCCTTCGAATGATTCCGCCATCTCCACTGCCATCTTATGGTATGGTATCAAATCTTGACTTCGGACTTCAGTTCTTACCGTAACAAACTGCTCTGCTTCGGGAGGTTGTGCCAGAGATACGGCCAATGCTGCTAACGCGTCTGCGTAGGTATTCTATAGCCGTGGAATATGTTCGATAAAGAATCCTTCGAATGATTCAGCCATCTCCACTGCCATCTTATGGTATGGTATTAAATCTTGGCTTCGAACCTCGTACTCTCCCTGAACTTGCTTGACTATTAGCTGAGAATCACCGAAAGCCTCGAGATACTCCACCCCCAGCTCCTTAGTGAAATTGAGTCCTATAATCAATGTGTTATACTCTGCTACATTATTCGAGCATGGCTCGGTTAACGAGTAGGCTCGAGGCATCACATGTTTTCCTGGGGAAACTAAAACCACTCCAACTCCGGAGGAGATTTTAGAACTTCCAGGAGCACTTGCTACATGAGTTGCTCGTGAAGCGCCGTCGAAGTATAAACGCCATACTTGTTGGTGTGAAGTCGCGTTGACTTCGTGGGTTTCATCAGATAGGTCGTCATATATCTCGGCGGTATCTGTAGTTGGATTGTCTGCCAGGAGATCACAGATGGCCTGTCCTTTTACTGACTTCTGTTGTTTAAAATGTAAGTCATATTGGGACAAGAGTAAGGCCCATTTTGCTAATCGCCAGCTCATGGAAGCTGGTTGAGTCATGAATACTCGAACCGGATTAACTTTAGAGATGACATAAATGGTCTGCCCGACCAGATAATGCCGCATCTTCTGAATAGCGAACACCGAGCTTGGAGAATGGTTGACATTTTCCTGAGAGGTTCGAGATGAACCGGCGGATGTAAGCCAACCGTCCTTGCAATCCTCTGAGTTCCTTGAGGTTTCTCAGAGGCTGCAATTCGTTAATCGCCTTTACCTTATCGGGGTCGATGTGAATACCTTTGGTAGTGACGACAAACCCCAGGAATTTGCCACTGGACATTCCGAGGAAAGACTTGGTAGGATTCATCTTCAATTAATGGGCTCGCATCAAGTCGAACATGGTCTTCAGGTCCTTAATGTGATCTTTTTTATCACGACTTTTCACGACCAGATCATCTACGTAGCATTCGACAGTCTTTCGGAGATGCTCCTGAAAGATCTTTGACATGGCTCGTTGATATGTA